TCTAAACTTGAGTGATTCATTCTGCAGGTTATTGTGAGCAATTTTGCGATGTATTATTCGCATACTCAGGCCAGGTCGAAGATGCCTAAAAAGCGACGAGGTGTGCTCAGTCTTGACCAGGTATTTGCTTGACAGCAACTGCTCATTCAACAATCTTACCGCTTTACCGCTTCATTAGAGCCATCCGTTCAGCAAGTTCGTGACTGTACCGGTGGAACTGATGAGCATATGAATAATTTGATAAAATTGCATTGATAATTACGCTGTCAACATCGGCATAAGTATCAATGTGGCTTCGAGCATGATTATTATCAGGTTCATCATTAATTTTCGGCCGTTAAGATCAAGCAGCAGCCAGCCAATGTTCTTCACCAACGACGTCAGCAACAAAACAAAGAAAATTTGCATCAACCACTTTTGACATCCGCAACAGCCAAATGCAATGGACCATCGAATTTGATCATTTCGAAGTGCTCTTAAATTATCGTTATCGATTGTTATACGTAAATGTCGATTGTCTCATTTCTTCTCGTATCATCTTACCGTCAATTTCTGCAGGTTAACTTCAGTTCGCTTCAACTCATTACTCCAATGTTCATCAGATCAAAAAATATCATGCACTAGACTTACAAATAAAACGGATCAAAACTTATCATTGTTTTGAACCATCCTCAGTTATTCCGTTGATTGACTGGTTCGAGTATTCATTGCTCTCCGTGTATCTATTTCTGCTTTCAGATTTTTTTTNAGGAACAATGTACGATTGCACGACGTTAAGCACGACGGTAGATCCGGTGAAATGAATTGAAGTAATACTCAAGTGGCCTCATCTCGATAGTGCACTCGTATCATCATGATAATATTATAACATTACTCGGATAATAGCATTCATCTTATTGCATAGTACTTCGCTGTACTTAATATTCATGTAGATATTAAAATATATGTTATAATGTCGTGTATTTTACAGTGCGGTTCAACAGAATCGGTGTTGTTTTTAGTTACTGCAGCAGTTCTCATTTTAATTGTACATGTGAAAAGTAGGTTCGAATAACTTTCCACAGCCACGCCTGAGGCTGCAGTAAATAATCGCAGTTTCCCTGATAATGATTCGGAAATGCTGCAAAGGATTCGATACGTCACTTCATATCGATTAAGTTTTACATCTCTGTCAATAGGCGACCACCATTTGTGTCCAATAATGGAAATTAGGCAAAGATTTAACATTCGACATGCAGATATACTGACGTTGAATATAATAGATGAGAGCTGCCTGCTCATTTGATCCTTTTGCATTATGTTATATGATAACATTTGATGCAAATGAAATAAAGATCTTTTTTTTTTTGATTTTGCACAATCATTATCTTTATTCATTGCAAAACTATTAACCATCGAATAATTTCAGAACGAGTAATGGAACATACATGCATTTGCCTACTCTCCTGTTTGAATAGACCATTTTAATTGCTTCTTTTGTCAGTATGACAAATTCAGGGTCGTTCTGATCCATCTGATTTGGGATTAAAGAACTCACAGAAGCGAGGATCAGAATCTGTTGAATTTAATCTGAAAACATGGATCGAAACTGAAAAATCCGTTCTATTCCCAGTATTTGGCTCAGCAATAAACTCCGTCGCTAATAGCATCAAATTAATCCGTGTTAGCTTCGAAGTGGTATAAATAGTTCAAATTTGATGTGACAATTTCATCATGAAATGCAAAATTTTCCTGCAAAGATGATCTTCAGGAAGCGTTTTGCCATTAATCATGATGAATTGAAATTTCGAACCATAAGAAATATGCAAATTTACACCTTGCTGTGTTAACATCGCAGAAATCATATGCGACTGTAACGTCTCGATATGGGCTCAACAGTGGCTTGAATTATGCCACGTTTTATGCGTCAAGCGGCAATTTCATTCGAACATAGCAACGATCATCATTTTGTCTATTTTATTAGTCATCGTTTGCGTCTGAGATATTGCATTGTTGTGATTGCAATTTTTTGTATCATTTTCTCTTTTGGTTATTCTGCGCTTGAATGCTACGAAATGAACAAAGTTCGCTTGATGAGTGAATGGTTTCTTTTGTCAGTCGATAATTTTTCTCCGATTGCAACAATTGAATGTCATATTTTTCAGTGAAAAATTTTCAGTGGAAATATTTTCAGTGGAAAATTAATATTTTTCTGTTTTCGTATTTTTCAGTGGAAAATTTTGGTAAGTAATCATAGAATCAAATCCATATTTTTCAGTGAAAAATTTAAGTAAACAATCATACAATCAAACTGATTCGTGTCAGTGCAAATCGAGATGAACTGTTCTTTTTGGCTATTCAGTCGACCTACCACGATCGTTTGTTGTCCTCTCTGTTCTCAGTTCCCGAGGATAGAAAGCTTATCTGACATAGTTTAGCCATCAGTAGGAAACCCCTTTGAAACTTCGATTCTACCTTAATTCTAAATCCCGAACTTGAATCATTTCGAATTCCTAAACCAGAATACGAAATCTGGAGAAGCTGTGAGTTTGACTTCTGAGAATAAGAAATTCCGAACACCAGTTTGATTCCAAAATTGATGTTCGATATAATTCGAAACCGTTCCAAATCACTTGAACGGGAGCAGTTCCTGTTCACACTCTCGTTCCCAAAAACTACTCTCATCGTCAATATTTCTCGAATTTTTGC